GTGTATTACATCAAAGAATGGGCACAGAGGTGGTGGTTCATGTAGTTGTATCAAATAGTATGGGACCTGGGCATGATGTAAATGGTATGGAATAAGGGGTGGAATGTGCTGGTTTGAGCTGGAGTAGAGTTAACTTTCTTCATATGGAGCTATCTTTGGGTTTTGTGCAGAACACAGAGTTGATAATGCAGAGATGATATTGTTATTGCTGAACAGAGCTCACACAGAGCCAAGGCCTTTGCTGCTTTCCGTACTGCCACGCTGGCAAGGAAGTTGGGGATGCATGGGAGATTGGGAGGAGACACAGCTGGGACAGGTGACCCAAACTGACCAAAGGGATATTCCATACCATAGGACATCATGCTCAGTATATAAGGTGGGAGGAAGAAGGAGGAAGGGGGGACATCTGGAGTGATGGCGTCTGTCTTCCCAAGGAACCGTTACGCGTGATGGGCCCTGCTCTCCTGGAGATGGCTGAACACCTCCTGTCTGTGGGAAGCAGTGAATTAATTCCTTCTTTTGCTATGCTTGTGTGTGCAGCTTTTGCTTTCTCTATTAAACTGTCTTTATCTCAACCCATGAGTTTTTGTAGCTTTTATCCTTCTAATTTGCTCCCCCATCCCGTTGGTGGGGGAGTGAGTGCGAGGCTGTGTGGTTCTTGGCTGCTGGCTGGGGTTAAACCACGACAAACCCAAACCTTCCTGGTCCTCCTGCCAAAAAACACAAAGCTGAATGGGGTAATAACTTGCAATTATTGGTGGCAGGAAAACAGGATCAGTAGGTAGTCTCAGCATCAAAATAATCCCAAAATATCTATAGGAAAATGTAAATTACCAAAACAGCCCTACTAAAGCATTGAATACATTTGTATTTTCATTCACCTAATTATGTGTTTCAATAGACTAAATAAATACAAAGTAGGTTTGATTGCATGTTAAATAACTGATTGATTGTTTTTACATTTACATCACCATTTTGCCCCAAGAGAACATAAAGGCACTCACAAATCACAGACACTTTCAGCACTACATTGTCAGCCACCCTACATCACCAGAAGGGCAAAGAAAGAAATTTTCTGAATGCAAGGACAAACCTTTGCTCCTCTGGAAAGCTTTCTTAGGAAACCTGAAGCATTTTTTGGCTATAAGTTTCGGTTTTGAAAAAAACTACAACTGCAAAAGCTCCCAAGAAACAAAGAGTTATCTGTGATTCAAACTAAAAGAGTAAGGTTGACCTGAAAACACTACTTTTCATTATCAGCATTTAAATAGTGAAGTATTAGGTTTACGTTTCACAGAAAAATAATATATACATCAAAAAGAGTACACAAAAGTTATGTATAGCTTTACATAAGGAACAGCATGTATTAAAAAGGACATTTTTAAAAAATTACAGTCCCTTTCACTAAAAAAAGAAAACTACCTGTTCTGCTCTTCCAGCTCATCCTTTCTATTCATCATGGCCACAATAGCTTGACGAAGTTCATCTAAAGAGAAGGGACAAAGCAGATTCATTTCTGTGTGCACTTTTGCTTGTTTCAGACCTAAAAGTCACGTACATAGGCAACACATTTAGGATGATGCCAAAGCTTTGCTATTCAGCAAAGCACATAAAAATGCTCTTAATTTCATCACTAATTTGAACAGTCTTACCAAAATGGTATTATTTAACACAGGATCAGAAGTATTGATCAAGTCAAATGAGCCTGCATCTGGCTTTAATACAAATGTTTACCAGGGTGCCTGTGGCTGCAGCTGTTTTGCTTTAATCACAGGTGTATGGCAGAAAGCACCTTTTCACTACAGGCATATTAATGAATACACTGTCACTTGTGCAGCCTCTTCAAATTGCTGCTTCGTGCTATAAATTCTGACAGAGGAAATATAACTATCACAGGGAGATGGGAGAGAATGTCATTGTTTCCTCATGACATTTTGTCTCCAGCTGAGTCTTAAGGACAATGGGATTTCTGAATCTTGTCATTTCCTAGTAAAACCTTTTTTATTTTCTGCAAAGACCTTCAAAATACTTCCTGTCATTAAATCAAGTCTAAAAATTAAAAATAGAAAATTGACAGAATCTTAGAATTTTTTGAGACTTCTTTAGGGCTCAGACTGAAGGAGGGGAAATCTAGGTTGGATGTGAGAAGAAAGTTTTTTCCTGTGAGAGTGGTGAGACACTGGCACAGGTTGCCCAGGGAAGTGGTGGCTGCACCACCCCTGGTGGTGTTCAAGGCCAGGCTGGATGAGCCTTGAGCAACCTGATCTAGTGGGAGGTGTCCCTGCCCAGGGCAGGGGGTGGGGACTAGATGATCTATAAGGGCCATTCCAACCCCTAAATTCTATGATTCTATGGTAATGTTTAACATGATACCAGAACAGACAAATACCATACAGAAAAGGATGAGCTCACAGTGGTGCCTCACCTGGAGTCCTGCTGAGGTTTCAATAGAGGTTTTACCATCTAACTGTACAGCTGTACCATTACTATTTACTATAAATGTACAGAAGAATATTAGGAGTTAATCATCTAACCTAAAATAGATTTTGCCTTCCAGGTCCTGCATGAATACATGAAATAAAAGAGGTCTTCAGAGATTTGAATGGCTTCTAGCAAATATCAGGATGGAAACATGTCATCCTAAACAATTTCATTACCAATTTCACATACGTTAATCAATAATTTTATGAGCACTATGAGAACACAATTATATTAAACCATCCCTCCCAACAGTTAAATGAAATGCTCCCATGTCTATATACATCAGCCAACTCTGCTCCACAAGTATTCAAAGCAGATGTCAGCAAATTTTGTGTGCCTTTACTGAACACATCCTAACAGAACTGGTATTACCTGATTTCTTCAAGCAGGCAAAGCCACTGGACAACAGTTTTCCCATTTACATTCAGTTCACTTACACAAACATTTATTACTATTTCCTACAGTTACAGAAATCTTTGCCCAGTCAAAAAGCCTTAACATTGTCCTGGGGACTAGATTAAGTCTGCCAAACTCTAGTCATGGACAAAACATGAAAGATTTCACTATGTCAACCAAATGTACCAGCCAGTGCTGCAGACACAATTTCAGTCTGGCATTGGCACTCTGCAGGAAAATCCTGCCCTTGCAGAACTGCAGGATTCCACAGGGTTCTCATATCTCTTGAAATCAACTAACCCACATTTCTTCATGCAAGATGTTTCCCAAAACACTTCTGCTTCTTTGGCCATGGAGACAGCAGATGATACTTTTGTATCCATTCCGTATTTTCCACATTTCAGCTTAAGAACTAACTGACATTAGCAAGAAACATTTCAGTAGGTCATTAGAGAGATTTTGCACTTCACTAATTCAGCAGAGAAAGAAAAGTGAAATTTGTGGGATTGAGCACATTAAAAAAAAAAAAAAAATCTGGAGACTTCTGCTTTGTCCCTCGATTAATGTACTGACATGCAAACCAAAGCTGTGATTACATGGGTACTTTAACCAGTCCTCCTAAGGCTGTGCTTTCAGTGAAAATGACATTTGAACTGGCCCTATCCACCAATGCCACCACCTCCCTTGTCATGGCACTGATGTTCCTACACACAGTGTCCTAGCAGGAACTCATCCAGCTCAAAATTGAATGTGGTTTGGTTTTTATGCTGAGCTACTTTTCAGTTATCAAGTGATCTTGGTGTTGAGTCTAATACTGTTGCTGGCACAAGGCACATAGCAGAAAGCAGGCAAGGCAGAACACCATTTTTAGTTTATAAGGATGAGGAATATAAGGTGCGGCAAGAGTAAACTTCACATTGCATTGAAGTGACCAGGTAACCACTGTAATTTACATAGGAACTGTAGAAGAACTTAGAACTAAAATATTACATATAACAAAATACACTATGCTCAATTCTTTTCATCACTAGGTTTTCAAAAGATGATCTGTAGCAGCTTTGGTTGACTATCACTTCATTGGGAGAGGACACACACACCAAAAACCCCCACCAAATCCCACGTTCTGAGATACAAGTATCATATTGAGCCATAAAATATCAAACTTGGTGATAATGGAGCTCAGCACACTACTAGTATTGTTTTAGACATGATGAGACACTGCCACTCTGAGGGCAGGCTGGAAAGGCTGGGGGTTGTGAGGGGTTTTGTTTGGGTTCTTCTGTGGTGGGACTTGTTGGCAGTGACAATTGGTGGGATGTAGCAGTCCTGAAAAAATGATACATAATGTTCTCAAAATGGACCACAATCCATCAGCTTATCTGTGAAATAAATGACTGTTCTAAGGATGAGCAAAACAGAATAATCCAGTACACGTTCAAGCCTTGTACAAACATACAACACAAGCAAAAGGAACCATAGCAATCTGTGAGTACAGTAACACTAGAACAAAATAAAGATCTTGAACTATAACATTGATTCAGAATCCTTCTCAAGAAAGCATTTTAAATATTTCAAGTGAGTCATTAAAATATGATAATGCACAATCAACAGTTAGTTGCTATTATGTCTCTAACTCTGAATAAATTAAAGCTGTTGCTACTCAGACAAGTCACTGCAGCCTTGGCTCTGCACTTAGGCTGGGGTGCCTACTCCGCAATAATTGCCTGTGTGCATACTCAGTGTTTTAATGTGCACTGATTTATTACCATTTAAACAGTGACACTATTATAAATTGTCTCCATTTTTTCCATTTTCCCAATCTATTCAAACTGTAACCTTAACTTGCCTAATAACTTAATCTTCTTTTCCTTATTCCAGCCAGAATCTTCTGCATGAGTAGAGAGCTGAAATCCCATCTTCTCTCACTGCCCTCTCCCACACACACACACACAAGTAAGCAGAGCACAAAAGCAAGATGCTGCTAAAGACCATGGTCTGCACAAAAGAAGAAGAACAAAAGTCTAGTGAAATAAAAAATGCTAAAATGCTTTTAATTTCCATTTGCCTCATTTTTCTGAGAGTGATGGAATTGACAATACTACAGACACAACAAAGCAGAAACTCCAAATTTCATTATCACATATAGGTCAAATACCAATGCTTAATTTAGGACCACACAAGCAAACACAGGTCACACTCAGTATTTCTTCCTAGTTTAGTTCAATTACAGATACCAGTGGAGATGTGGAAGAAAGTTCAACACAAACCACTGGTGTGGGCTAAGGGATCAGACTCCCAAGAAGGCTGGTACTCAAGCAGCAAAACTGCTCCATGGCTATACCAGTGTTGCTGCTTCTTGAAGTGATGAGTATTAAGAGTCATATTTTCTATGAATTACTCAAAACAAACACAAGAACTACACAGTTTATCATCAACATTTCTTTCATCTCTCCATCCACAGTAAATACTAAAAGGTAACTACTTAGTGTACCTAAGTAGAAAGTTACCAAGAAAAAAAGAAAACAGAAACTTTAATTTCATGATCTTTTGATGCAAGAACTGAAAAGAACCAAAAGGACACCATCCTACTTAACTCAGGTATAACACTTAAAACTTTCAAAAATCATCACTTCCTACTTTCACTTATGCTTCCTGAAAAATTTCAGCAGATGTCAGACCAGGCAGCCAAATGCAAACAAAGTAAATCCAGCCTCATACACTGCAGCAGGTTCACTTCAAACCTGCCAGAACATCCACAGTTCATAAGCTTTTGTCTGCCTGTTACACTTGCCTCCAAGATGAGTGTATGATCATAACCTAATTTCTCCAGCAGACTTATGTCTCATACATTGTGTGGGTTAGAAAAAGGAATAAATTTTTTTTTAAAATGTCAGGGTTACAGCAGTAACCACAAATTTGGCATTTTCTGACTTCTGGTCTTCACAACTTCAATCTTGCTCCCCCTCCTCTATTTTTTTTCCTTTTTTTTCTTTAATAAAACAGTGGGAGGTTGGCCAAGTATTCCTATTTCAGAGAAGTGTTTGATGTTAGAGTTTATGTCCTACTTCTGAATTGCTTTGTGCTTGGTATGTCATTTACATTCTGCTAAGTAACATTAATGAAAAGCAATAATTCTACTGTTCTTGAGGATCAACATTCAACACCAACATGGCTTAAAATGAAGCAATAATCACACTTCCACAAAGACAGAAATGACTAGTGAAGTCTTTCATATTACGCAACCTTAAGAGATATTTTTGCAACAGCTTCTTGAAAAAAGGATTCCCATGTGCAAACCAATGATTCCAAACCATGTCTGACTCAACTAGCAAAAATAAGAATTCTTCTAATTAAATTTTCATATTAAACCTCGCTTTTTCAAGCACTGAAATCATCTTTTATTGCTGAAATTAATCCATAGTGCTTAATTACTCACAAAGCAAGTATTTGCTCTAGAACATTTTTAGTTCAATTGCACACTACATGCAAAATGTAGCTTCTACAGAGCTTCTATAAGGTCACATTCAGAGCATGAAACATCTAAAAGTGCCATGCTTTAAGAAACACCTGTCAATTTTCCATCAACCTCCAGAAAATTCATAAGTTTCACAACTCTTCTGCTGTTTAGCCAAAGATTGGGTAAGTATGATTTGCAATCACCTGTTTTGAAGAGTGAGCTGTAAGTGAAATCATCTCTCAGTGTACACAAGGGCATGCAGCACTCCTCTGCAATCCTGCACATAGAATATCAGGGTGGGCTGGGAGCAGTCTACAGCAGTGACTTTTTTTATTTTCATGAGTGCAAATTTACAGATATTTTCAGAGATAAACAAAACTTTCAACAGACTAGTTACATCTTAAATCAGAAGACTGACCTTTAAAGACATGCTCCCCAAGCCACCTGCATGAGCACTGACTATCAGGGCAAGTTTTAGTAGGAAGCAAATGAGACCATACACTGTTGGCCTTCTGCTCTGTAGAAGGGCCCTGACCAAAACCAAACCTGTAAGATGAACTGCAGCTTTCCTCTCTGATGAAATGTATATACATTTCTTCCACTGTTGTGCTCTCAAAAAAGTCACATGAATTTAGTACCTCTCAGTGCTCTGTGGCAAGCAGGTTACAGAACAGGTCAGAAGCTATTTAGAGGACAGAGAAAGTACCAAAACATACACCTTACTGACTTACACAATCAGGATAAAAATATAATACGTAGGTTTGATTATTCAGTGAAGGTTTTCAGTGATGGTGAAAAACTGGGGCTATCTCAAGAGTATATGAGAAAATACAGAATGAACAATGCTCAAACCTTTCCTAACCTTTGTGGTTAAGCCCAATTTTAAAAAGTGAAGAAAATTATAGTGAAAAAAATGAAATTACCAATTATTTACTAAAAATAGCACTATAATAAAAGAACCTTGTAAAGAAGGACACAAGTAGCATCTTTCTAAAATGAAAGTTTTGGAACTTCTGCTTTTTTTCCCCATAGCAAAACCAAAATGAGGAAACTTGTGCTGGTAGAACATGCTGTTCTGGTGGAAAATAATGCTGAAAATACAGTCTTCCAATGGCAACACTTGGAACAGACAAAGCTGTTTGTGATTCAAATATGATAAATACAACTTTTTAAAAAACTGGAAAAGGCCATAATAGAGCAGAAGCATAAACAGAAAACTTCTGACAAACCTAATCATTTAAAAAATTGGTTATGAGGCATAATGGTCTCAGAAGTAGGGCAAGTTTTCAAATGATGTCTAACATACACAGTGAAACTGTATGGGTTAGGCTTTCTCTTGAGTGGTATCAGTATTTTTTTTGAGATGTATCTGCTGTTAAGTGAACCTGCACCTTACAAATGCATAGGATGTGAATTTAGGAAAATAATTCAAAATGGCAGAAATTTCAAATTACAGCTTCTTGGGACATGATTTCCTGGCCTGCATGTCAAAAGATGCAGTGAAAGGTTAGTACTATATTTTTAAGTTGAAAACGAAGCAGGAAAAGAATGAAATTTTAAAAAAAATTCAATTTCAATCTTTGTCTTCAGAAGTAAGAAGCACAAAAAAACAGTCACTGGAGAGCTCACAGCTTTCCTCCCTGCACTACTGCATTCCACTTTTCTTGTCTGATGTGTTAGAGCCAGTTGCTATGCAACCAAGCTATAAGCCTCACCATTTAATAATTCTTCTGCTAATTGCAATAGAGAAAAGGAGCTTCAACATCTTTGTCACAACACTGAATTCTCCGTGCACAGAGAATCTATGACCAATAACATCAAACTTAAAAAAAGCATTTTGACTGAATGCATCTGGGATCAGCAATCACAAAGGTACTGACTGACACTGTAAATGTAGTCAGCTGAATTTTGATTATAATTATGATTAGATTATTTGCTAAGTGTTCTACTAGCTTTATCAATGGTTTTGACATGCTTCCCCCCTTTCTTCCACCAAAGCCTTCTCTAAAACGGGACACTAATGACAGTGTGCATGTTCCTGTGGATCCTGTGTTTGCCTTTCGTTTACAAACTGCTAAGTGTCGAGAATTGAAAATCTCAGGATTTTCTATTTCATAGTTGTCTGACCTACACGCAAGAACCAACTGAAGGAGACCAATTGCGTAAAATCTCAGGATTTTCTATTTCATAGCTGTCTGACCTACACGTAAGAACCAACTGAAGGAGACCAATTGCGGCCCCTGCTGGCACCTGACACACCTGCAGAACAGTGGAATCCATGGAGTGCAAGAGCAGAAAATGTCCCATTCAAATTCTACAGCTGAAAAATTAAATAAGAATGTAAGACCAAAAGGACATTGTAGTAATAACATCAGCAGAGTCTATCTAGTGACCAAAGTATCACAGTAACCAACAACAGTAACTTCACCTACATCTCCAATTATGTCACTTTCAAGTCTCAAACTAGTTTCCCACTTCATGAAGTACTTTGCCAGAAAGGATCTTTCAGCTGTGTAAGGCTCAACCAGCAGCCCCAGGGCAGAGCCTGACACACTGCCCAGGGGAAATGCACAGTGTACCTCCCTTAACACGCTGACACAGACAGCGTTTGAACACGACCTCAGAAAATGAGATTAGAGTATCTTCAGGGTTCATTCATTCTGATGATTTCACGAATCGATTTCAGAAAAGAATCTTGGCTGCATCACTTATAAATTTAAATATGGACAAGTTTCAAATGATGACATTTGGGAAGTTATAAGAAGAAACAAACACACACCCAAGAGCTTTGGGAACAAAGCCAGTTCAGTCACAGAACTTTCTGTACAGTGAGGAACATAAACCCATACTGCCTTACATGCTCAGTCAGTTTAAGAGCTAAGTCTTTGTTCTACAAGCTTATGCGAAGAAAAAAAGATTAATGATGGGGTAGACAAACAGCCTGTGCTTCTCTTAATCTATCTCCACAGCAAAGGCTATTTTATTCTGCCTAGTTCTACCCTCAATACCACAGAAAATATGACTGTCCTCCACCTTAATCTCAACTACAGTTCTTGCATATGAAACCTTATATTTATGTTTGGAGCAGGTTTTCATGCTCCAACAACCACAGACTGAGTGTACACAGAAAGAGTTCTAGGTTGTTTGGGTTTTTTCTGACTAGGCACCAATGAAAGCAGGCAAAATAAATTAAGACCACATCAGAACCAACCATAAGTGCTTTCAGAGCTTGCCGAGATTTAAAGATGTTAACAAATTAAAACATTATTTTTCATTTAACCACTGAAGCCACATGTAGTATAAGGATATATGAGTTGCACTGAACTATAACCTTGGATCTGCCAATGCAAAAATCATTTTAGAGCAGTCATTTCTAGTGTGGCCAGCACACCAGCAACTGAGTGCTGAAATAAAAATAGAAGGAGTTATAGAACTTTCAAAGTTATTTCCATCTTCGATACATCAAGAAAGTACTTACTAATTGTCATGGATTCTGGCACAGTGGCTGAAGGCAACATACTGCTTAAAGTATTCACTTGAGCTGGAGGACTGACTTCCACTCTAGTCATAAAAGAACAGTATCATCAATAAATGAAAACAAAATTCTGAATTCCAAAAAGGAAAAAAGCATTCCAGAAACTAGAATTGCCATCCTATTCACCCATATTTAACCAACTTACGTTTAACTATCCTTTAATGTATCTCCCATGAGTCTGATTCAAGAATACACACAAAAAAAATTCCAAATCAAAGGGCTATGGAAAATATAGCAAAAAAAATAACATACAAAACATCATGAAATCCACTTTCCAAACCAGGAGGCCAAGTTTGCCTGTTATTTGACATGACTGTGTGACTCCTCTAAGATAATTAGAAGTTTAAAATACGAAACTATGCAAAAAGGGAAGTGTAGGCTTTTTGCACTTGTCTTTCCAAACATTTGCAGAAGTTCCCTGACAAGTGATTGGTTTTCCAGGACTGAGTGCATTAGGTAACAATAATAAGTTGGCAGCTACAGGGTGAAGTTTGTTGTGTTTTTTTTTTAAGGAAAACATATTTGACACATACCTGTAAGGAAGATCAGATCTCCTTGGAACCAGTTCTACAGGATGAATATGTTCATGCCCCTCTCCATTCTCCAAGTTATCTGAAGTAGAATGCACAAGCATTACCTTTCTTCAGTTTACAGTACTTTAAAAAACAGAATAAAAACATAAACACAGAAGGAAGCTAGTTACATTTTTAAATACTCATCTGTATTGGAGCTTTTAAACACTTTAAATTCCTTCTCCAAAGCTGGTTCCTGCACATTCACCCTGACTGCCAACAGGATCATAAAGTCCCTTTAGGAACACAGCCATCATCAAAAAAAATCAGCATTGCACAACTCCTGAATTATAATATCATAAAGTCCCTTTAAGAACACAGCCATCATCAAAAAAACCAGCATTGCACAACTCCTGAATTATAATTGATGTGCACATTTTACACTAACAGTCTTGCAAAGCTATGAGACTTCTTCCTGAAGTTATTCTCACAAGCCTCAGGAGTTTACCCACCACATGGCATCTGATCCTCATTACAAATCTCTTCATGACTTGCAGGAGAAGAATTTGTGGTTAGCCCCCAGCACATGAAACCTTGCAAAGACACCAGCCCTTTATGTACTCCCAACAGAGCACCATGGCTTTTCCCTGGCTCCTTATGTCTATGTACCAAACATGAAGAATCAGACAGATGAGATATTGTTTAAAAAGCATGAATAATGTGCATCTGTCCACAGATCCACAACTGTCGGGATCAAAACATTCACATCACCAGGCCTGTCATTAAGGAAGTTCAGGTGGAAAGAAATAAAAATCGTATTTTATTGATATTTTCTGCATCTCACTATGTAAAGGTTACAAAGTTACTACATGACAATCCTAAAATCATGAACTAAAATTGCACAGATTTAAAAAACAGGAATTCTAGGAAAAAAAGTGAATTGGAATTAGAGTTATATCAGAAAGACCATGGAGGAAAAAAATCCATTTTTTAAGCTGCAGAGTTTACTGAAGCTCAATTCCTAAACTGCATACTCCATTTTTGTTCCAAGCAACTGAATTTTGACTGAGAGTTTCTCATTTCCAGTTACATGGAGATCTGATATGCCCTGACACATCCCTGAAGCACTGCACCAGACTGAAACTGAAAACACAGCTATTAACATACAACACTGCAGACTGTGCTGCAACCCATTTCAAATATAGGTCTTGCTATTTATCTGTATTAAGACCTATAAACCAAAACACTGGGTTAATCTATACATTTCACAAGAGCTCATTAAGCATGTTTTAACAAAAACAGTGTTATAAGAATAATGAACTTGCTAGTTACTGGGCTGAACTGCCCTCAGAATAAGCCAGTGCACGTTCCTTCTGATATCATTCATCCAGCACAAGTGTAACTCCCAAAGTCAAGCAAACAACTGCCTAAAGCAGCTTTCAATCTCATCAAGCTGTGAGTATGGCTGGGGAGGGAGTGACTGGATCCGTGGGCATCCCTCTCCCTAAGTGGCTGATGTTTGGGCTGCATGATGGGCCATTTAGAGCAGCCTGTCTGCACAGCCTGTCACACGTGGAGAGGTGAAATCAGGAGCTCAGACAGCAGAACCTTTGCTGCTGTTTCCTATAACCAGTGAAGATTCCTTTCAGCAGCCCAATGTTGTGTCACTCTAGCTTGTGGACAGACCATAGGGGTTACCACAAAGAGGGACAGAAGAACTGAAATTATCTGTGGACTGTGCCAGAGGGATCTGAATGGACCTGTTGATCATCTCTAGTAGTCTGAGCATTGTAGTCAAAACAGTTCTGAGATGAAGCAAGATGAAACGAAGGTCTTTGGAATCTTCTTAATAAAAATAGGTCCCTGTTTCACATTTTGTTGCCCTCTGTCTCCAGTCATAAGTCTTGGCTTAGCCTCCTGACTTCTGATTTCAGCTACAAACCCCTAGCTCACACTCCTGATGCCTCAGCATGTCTGAGTGGCTACTGACGCCCAGAGCAACTGTGAGTTCCCCTTCCACACACCCCAATTAACAGGAATGTTTACTTCTATTCCAGATTTCAACCCGTGCATGTTCTCTAACTGTTTCTGCATCAAATTTAAGAGAACACAATGCCACAAATTCCATAATATTTGCTAAATCCATTCCTTCATAAATCGAACGTGATGGCACAAGAAATAAAGGAAAATGCACTTTCTGTTTTTTCTGACCCACTGGCTTTGCTTCTGAGGCACATGTTTTAAAATACAGCAGAGGGCAGTACAGCATTATTGTATGATTCACATTTTTATCCTTGAACTTCCACAACTGAGTTACACTTTTTCACAGGCTTTAAATTAACAATCCATTTCAGCTCTTGGCACATAAAATGTATATGAAAAAAATATAAAATATTTTACAATTAAAACATTATTTGAATGCCACTGAAAAGCTTTTTAATTGTCACCAGCATGAGTATACCCAAAGCTTTATAAAAGCAATGTTTTATGAACAGCTGGCAAAATATTAATGGGGTGGAGGAGAGGGTTGGTAAATTTTTTTTATTTGTTTTTGGTACCAATACAGACACTGGAAAAGCACCAGGTCTTCTTTTCCATTCCTTTGACTGTTTTTATTGCTTGTTTCAAATGGTCCATATCACTCTGGAAGTGCAGTACCCCAATCTGCATACAATACTGCAGCTGAGGCCACAGCAGAGGCAATGGAGCATTAAATTTACAACTGACACTTCCATTTATGCACACCACTGCTAACTCACTATCAGCAGAAAACCATTTGAGGACACTGGCAGTTGAAAAATTAGATATGAGTTGATAACTGGTGCTCACAGCTCAGAAAGCCAATCTTACCCTGAATAAAACAAAGCATAGCAAGCAGGTTGAGGTCTTGGCTTTTGTGAAACCTCAACCTGAGTATTATGTCCAGCTCTGGGGTCCAAGTGCAAGAAAGGCATGGACCTGTTGGAGGGCATCAGGAGGAGAGTCACAAAAATGATCACAGGGCTGCAGCACCTATGAAGAAAGGCTGACTTGGAGCTGTACAGCCTGGAAAGAGAAGGCTCCAGGGACACCTCACTGCAGCCTTTCAACATATAGAGGGCTTAGAAGAAAGATGGAGACCTTTCAGCATGGCCTACAGTGACAGGACAAGGGGAAATGGTTTTAAACTGAAATAGTAGATTTAGACTGGACATCAAGAAGATTTTTCCTTTATTATGAGGGTGGTGAGGCACTGGCACAGGCTGCCCAGAGAAGCTGTGGATGCCCCATCCCTGGAAGTGTTCAAGGTCAAGTTGGATGGGGCTTTGAACAGCCTGACCTAGTAAAAGATGTCCCTGCCCATGTCAACCCAAATAATTCTGATTCCCAGATCCTTTTCTTAAGAAGTATTTCCTAGTCCATCACTCCTCATTCTGTATATAAACAAGTAACAGCTTCTGTTGAACTGTCTCCAACTGCTCTCTAATCTGCAAGATTAATTTGAGTTCTGAAACACACTTGCAGCTTCTTCCAGCTTATGATATATAGAAAATGACTAAGAAAACTCTCTATTCAACTACCCTGAACTTTAGTAAAATACCAGACAAGACCACAGCTTAATCCCAGCAAAACTCTGGTGTATTTTGACATAGATAAATCCTCCTCAACTAAATAACTACTCAAATGGAGAAATCTGGTTCAGCACTACAATAAATTTTAATTGAACTTTCTATCTCAGTTGTGCAGTATCTCCTACATCCTTACTTAGCACTATTTCTTACCATTGTCACAGGTTAGAAATTCAGTTATAAATGTTGCTGGAACTCTGTAAATTAAAACACCTACCTGTTTGGGAGTAAGACCCAACAGCACTGACAGGAAACAGAACGTCTGAGTCATCATTCAGGACCTGCAGAGGAGTCCAACTGCATATCTGAGAATTGCACGAGCCTATTTCATGAGGCCTAGATTTAAAACAAACAAACCAACCTATTTATTCAGCCAATATTCACATTCACAATGTTTCTATTTCTTTCAGAGATATCACTGCAAGAAAAAGCTTTATTTCAATCTGCCTGCCAATTTCTTGGTCAGGCATACATTAATTCAGTACAGATCAGACCATTCCAAAGCAGATGAGACAGGCAGTGCTTGCCTTTTTCTCCAAACAAATTTCTGTGTCAGAAATAAAGAAAGCACATTAGTATCTAAAATTATTCTTTCTCTCTCAGTTTTGCCTTGCCTTGTGTAACTGTCTACTGTGATGATAACAGGCTTGCTCTGTTTAAAATGCACTTTTACTGTGAAGCCAAAATAGAATTGATACCATACTAAGAATAAGGAAACATTAAGTAGGCCAGAATTATAGCCTGGCTGTATCATGCAACAATTTTAACAGCTAAAAACTTCAAGGAGAACAAGCATGAAATCTTGAAATTTTGGATTTCAGTGTAATTTAAAAGCAAAATATCATCACCACAGTGGCCCAAATGGTTTAAACAATGAAAAAGAAAAAAAAAAAGGGGGGGGAGAAAGGGGTGTGCGGAAGGAGGAATAGGGGGAAAAAAAAGAGAAAAACCTATAGTTCTGTTGGACACCTAAACTTGCCAGTACCCATGAGGGAGGGAAGGAGAGGAGGGGAAGCATGGAAGGTTTACCACTAGTTCCTGCACCATTACTTACTTTTCAGAAGCCTCAGTATCACCTTCTGTCCCTTTATTTCCTAATGATTTTCCATATTGTTCATCCTCATCTGCATCTTCATCATCAATGCTCTTCACATCTAGTTTCTGGTATTCATACTCTCCATTCATGAACACTGAATTGCTCTTCCAGGAATGGTTACTTTCATTCCCATTCAAATTTCTTCCCAGAGTGCTTTCAGATGAGGATAATGCAAGAACTGAAGATCTATCTACACTCTCCTCTGAACTTTCTCCTGTAACCAGAGTCTTTGTGGCATCTTGCTCATCTTCCTCTTCATCAAATGAGATGATATTAGTCACTCTCTTCTTCTTTTTTCGATCTTTTTTGTATTTCAAATCTAGTAGAAATGCGAAGTTTTACATAGTTCACAAGACAGAAACAATATAATACACTTCTTTTTTTCTTGTAAGAGCTCATGTACTAAATGAGTTTAGTGCAGAAAAAAACCCACTTAGATCTACAAGGTATTCATTATCTTTCCAACCACATGAGCTTTTAAATCTTTAATTACCATCTTTATTTTATATGCCTTCCATAATTCAGATTTCAGAAGATATTTTGGAGGTGCATTCATAACAATATTCAATTGGAAACTGAAAAAAAATAGTTCAACAAACTCATAAAATTAAATTTAAAATAAAAGCTTAGCCTCCCTGTCCCTTTCTGCCATGGTATATGGGTAGTGTATACTCTGTGCAACAGAGAAAACATGAAACACTTCCAGAGAGAAAAATAAAAAACAAACTCACAACATGAACAAAATCCATAACTTGCAATCCAATAAAGTTCTTTTGTCTATACTCTAAAAGCTCAGCAGCCAGTTTTCAGACAAAGAAATTAAATTTGCTCCCTCCCTCAGATGACTTGCTTATGGACTGAAATACACTGAAATCCTCCCTGGTTACATCAGAGCTCTTCAGTGGCAGCTCTTCCTTTTCAGTTGTTACCTATACTCATTGACTCTGACCTGCACATGAAGCTAAATGCAAAGCTGATCACAGAATCATAGAATTTGGAGCTGGAATGGACCTTACAGATCATCTAGTCCAAATCTCCTGTCCCTGGGCAGGGACACTCCACTAGATCAGGGTGCTCAAGGCTGATGCACTCTAAGAAATATCAGAGATTTCCCCACCAAGACAACACACTTTGGGACTAAACTGCTTTGTTAATTCAAGTCCAGCTGTTCCATATCCACAAAACACACAAACATACTTTTACAAGGATATTAAAACCCATTCTGGTTGCAAATCTAATTCCAGCAAAGAACACAGACTTTAATGAAAACATCTAACTTGCTCTAACATTCCACATGTAATTGCATTTGAAGAAATCCAATTTTTTCAAAGCAACATTTTATTATAAGTTGTACATTTCATGTACTGTATACACATGCACTGTACACATAATGTTCATTATGTTGTAGAGTCATGTGCAGCATATGGTCAATTACTCTGCCATTTCATCTTGCAAACCTATGCTATACTAACAAAGTTATCCCAAGTCAAGTATCACAATTTTAATCTCATTTAAGTGCTACACAACAAAAGCTCTACCATAAGTTTGTTTTGAAAACCCTGTTTTGAGACAAAGTCTATTTTAAATGCCAATAAAAAATAGATTTTATCTCAACTTTTATTCACATGTGGGTTTTTTGCCTTTTTCTCTTAGCCAGAATCATTCAATGCCTAAACTCAAACCTTGTTTCTTAATTGAAAAGCACATAAATCTTCCTGCAGTTTTGTACCTTTATAAAGCAAAACAATCTTTCAGCTCAACTTCTGGAAACAAAGATGATATAACTTTACTTTGTTATTTTTGGAACTGAAAATATTTAATGAAAATCACATTTTGCTTGACTAATTTCAAACTATAAGACATTAAGACTTTGGGTCTTTGTTAGTAACTAACATCCTACAAGCTGGTTGTAACTTTGAGACATTTAAAGGTAAGAAGAGCATATTTTAGGCAATTATCTACATTGCCTAGGAATTCAGACTGTAAACGTGGGCATTACTTGAAGAATAACAAGCTAAAATTTGTGTCTGATATATAACACCAGATATATGGTAGTGTATTTGACTGATTAAGTGCCAAAAGAAAACATATTAAAAAAGAAAAATCACAAACTGCAAAGCATGAGATTATGAATACGAAATTGAAATTCAGGTAACAAAGCACTACCAGTAAGATAGTGATGTAAGGAAGCTGAAATACACAGTTATCACCCAGTATTCCCATCAGTATTTCTAATAATTTCATACTTTTTGTTACACACTCAACTAGTTTGAATGTATAGTGCACTTACTTTTAAGATCTCTATTCTATAGTAGCGCATAAAGCTTAAATTAAGGAGTAATTTAAACACACCTGAATATTTTATACATTTCTGAATGGCACTAACATTGCATAAAAGCTTACCAGCATTCAGATTCTTGGACAGAACAGGAAGTGGGTCAGTGTCCTGGTCAGGTTTGATGAGAATGGAGACAGCAGAGGACGCGGTGATCTCTCGGAGAAGGCTGCTGACACCCTGAGTGGATTCCTTCAATAAGGAAGTGACATTTTGGGTGGATTCCTTTAGCAAATCAGACACTGTGGGTGTGCACTTGCTCTGCCCATTTAAATCCTTATTATCAATGTTGATTGCAAAAAGAATGGAGTTCAGACCTTCAGATAAAAGGGGAAAAAAGAGACCAAAAATGCACTAGATGCTTTACACAAAAGCTACAAACATAGAACCTGAGGAGTAATGAAGCTCTGACATGCAAAACATTTTTCCAATAAAATTTCCCACAGTTCTCCACGCATGAATTCCTTTTCTTTCATGGACCATTCATTCTTTTTTAGATTATATTCAAGCTGATGTCATCAGTTCTGAATTCATCTTGATGGCTGTTCAGCTGCACATTAATTAAGCCGTAAGTAATGCGAACTCATTTATTTATAATCTTTTATTTAAACCCATTTCACTGCAACTTTAGTATTTGTTGATTCCTATATTCTATCAGCAAACTCCCATGAAGTTTTTCTTGCAGCACCAAGCATGTGACCATGCACCTAAGGGGTATAAAAGGTAAATAATACAACACTTCTGTGGTCAAACTCCAGAAAAGTAAATTATTTGTTAGCATTCTTTACTCTTACTCTCCTTAAATGTATTTACCTATAATTTGGATTTTACTATAAAATTCTATTACTCTTTTCTAGACAGGAATAATCCGTTTTGTTTTCTCTAAATTGCACTATTTTAAGATTGCTTTGACTGCTGAACAGTTAGAAAATTTATGTGAAGGACTTTTGAACTGTAGGAGAGCCAGTCCAGGATTTTAACAATCCATCAGTTGACAGAATAAACTGGCATACACCTTGACTACTCACCCTGACTGTGCCTGTGACACACATTCTCCACATCAGCAGAGTGTGTTAGAGAAGCTCCCCACAACCAGAAACATATACAACACCTTAATATGCAACAGATTTATATTAGAGAGAAAGTCTTACCAGCTGCCATCGTAGGGATCATACTAGAACGTTCTTCATCCATCATAAAAGCCCAGTCTTCATAGAAGACACTATAATTTGAAAGGAAAAAAAAAAGAATACACAGTCCTATAGTAACATACATTTCAGTTCTGAAAGACAAGTAAAGTATGAAAAATAAGTAGGAGTAATCCATACCAATGGATTAAATCTTATGGAACAGTAACTCCCTGAGTCCTGAAGTATATAGAACTGGCTGAGCAGTCATCAAAGACATGCTAAAGAGTATTTTGTCTTAAGTTTTAGCTCTGCATTTTTTTCTGGGAAAAATGCAGCCACAGCATCTCTCAACAGGTATTGATATAAGATGAAAACACCTCAAACTTTCAAAATCACAGCATCTCTCAACAGATATTGATAAAAGATGAAAACACCTCAAACTTTCAAAAAGAACAGGATCTGAAGATGTATGAGGAAAAACGGTAGGACTCAGTTAACTATGACCTTAAGTGCATGTTGCACCTCCAAAGTGCCTTAGGATTTCACAGTACACAGCAAGTTATGCTCAGTAACTGTAACAACAGGTTCACAAACTGTTACCAAACCACTTCCAACTGCTGTGCAGTAGCAGCTACACTGTTTGACTGCTGCAGGATGAGCATCTCCAAAAGGCAACAGGCAATTACCACTGATCAGTTGATAAGATCAAGGCTGCAACTGTGCCCTATTTTAATGGAATGAGAGGGGCACCTCAAAGTGTAGTGTCAAGGTCTTGGTGAGGAAAACTCTTCAAAGAACAGGGAAGGGAGTTAGGAAAGGGGATGGGAATGAAGATGAGGATAGAAGCATGTACTGGCTAGAATGAAGTCAGTTTTATGTCACATAGGCACAAACCACTCTTAATGGCTGCCAAAAATTTCAAAAAACGAACACAACTCTTGAGGTTAAGCAACTTGACTAGCAAAGAATAAAGTGTATTATTACAGCTGTGGCTTTTGGTTGGTTGTCTGGGGGGTTTTAATCCTCAGTACTTCATTTGTCAATACAATTCCTGCATTATAAATCTCTCAGACAGAGTACCTGAGTCGATTCTTATCTGCAAGCAGCATATGAACATATCTTTCCAGCGAATGCTCGTTCAGTGCACAGCGCAGCCAAGCTCGGCCTCGGCCAATATCCGTGGAAATTGCCCTCAGAGAGTAAAAACGCTGCAGCTCATGTCTGTTCAGGACTTCCTTCACATAATACCAAAACACTGGCTCTGGAATTTAATAACAACAAGAATAATAACCACGACAACCCCACCAAGAAAAACACTAAGCTCATATCTGAATGCATTTACAGGTGAATTTACAAAAACAGGTAATGGTACATAACTTTGAGCAAAGGTCAATCATTTACCATCTTCATGCAACCCTCCAGTTAAATAGGTTATTTATTTCTACAGAACTTAGGGTATTTAAGCACTCAAAACTTTTCACTTCACTGAAATTAAAGGATTCCATCTTACACTTCTACATAGAATTCAGACTCAAAAGCTCACTTAAGCTAGTATTTCATCCATGGCACAGGTTCACGTGATCAGCTGGGAATGCAGTATACAAAGGGAAAAAATTCTTTAGAACTCTATTTTACTGCTGGCTGTGAAATGTTAGAAGCTAGGCCCGAAGGAATGGGCAGCTCCAGAACTTGCAGACATGCAAATGGCAAATTCATGTTACTTTAAAACCAAAGTGTCGCATTTAAAAGGCAGCAATACCTCTTTCCACTACAATACTTTCCTTGCCTTGTCCCCAAATATTGATAAAATGTTTTCTTATAGTTTTTTTTCTTATCGTTGTCTCAAATTTCTCAATCAGGTAACAAAAATCTACATCAGTAATTGTAAATGTACAATAAAGCGCCTGCTATTTTATATGCTCCCGTTTCTGAGTAAAAACATAATTTAAGAACATGTTTATTACAATTTACCTCTTAGCATTTTTTGAGGATGAAAGAACAGCAAAAAAAAAAAATCAGGTAATTCATCTCTAAGGCTTAAATCATTGCTACATGGTATGGTTTGGCAGTCATAAAGCACAGTTTTTCATGAAGCATCTGTAAATTGCAAATAAAAACCACTGCTGAACAATTTCCCTTTTCAACTGTCAAAGCCTGAATGCACAGCCTAAACAGCAGCATTCCAGTGTGCTAAAAAAAGAGAAGACACCTGTGATTATGTTAGACAGAAAGGAATATAAATCATACCAGACTCATGTGCCTGAAAGTGATATAAATATAGAAGTACTTTGCAACTGCTTTCAGGGTAAAGGAAAAAAAAACCCAACCAAAACCACACCAAGCCAACACTGCAATTTGTAAAGATAAATGCAGGGGAACCTGCACTTCCATTACAAGAAAATCATTGTAAGCACTATATTTTCTGCAAAGCAGATATGGTTTTGCTCTTGACCTTCCACACATTACTTAAGCTTCTTCAGGAGTAAAAATTCTGGCTTTCTTCTTCTTCCATTCCCCAACCATACAAAACTTCTCTGACTTTCTCCTCTTCCTCCACATCACATCACTGACAAGACCTCAGGTAAGACACACATCCACAGGAACATATATCTGAACTGTTACTGAAGTTCCCAAGCATCAGACATGCATCTTTGTACATCTGACCACTAACAGACAGGACCAAAAACTTCACACACCTTTGACCTTACTAATAGACAAGAGAGAAATCCCAAGAGTTACATGTAATGTTTTCAAGTTTAAAGATGCACTATTTGCATAAGTCAGAGAGAGTGTTAACTATATTTTCTGCAAAGCAGATATGGTTTTGCTCTTGACCTTCCACACATTACTTAAGCTTCTTCAGGAGTAAAAATTCTGGCTTTCTTCTTCTTCCATTCCCCAACCATACAAAACTTCTCTGACTTTCTCCTCTTCCTCCACATCACATCACTGACAAGACCTCAGGTAAGACACACATCCACAGGAACATATATCTGAACTGTTACTGAAGTTCCCAAGCATCAGACATGCATCTTTGTACATCTGACCACTAACAGACAGGACCAAAAACTTCACACACCTTTGACCTTACTAATAGACAAGAGAGAAATCCCAAGAGTTACATGTAATGTTTTCATTTCAAGTTTTGCACTATTTGCATAAGTCAGAGAGAGTGTTAACAGGGAGAACATTCTCTGCACCAAAGCAAGAGACTCTCAATTGCAAGCTGGGGGGATAAAAAACAGTCACTGGAAGAGGGAGAACATTCTCTGCACCAAAGCAAGAGACTCTCAATTGCAAGCTGGGGGGATAAAAAACAGTCACTGGAAGTGGGGAGAACATTCTCTGCACCAAAGCAGGAGACTCAATTGCAAGCAGGGGGGATAAAAAACAGTCACTGGAAGTTATGGCTACAGATCAACATGTATTAACAATTCTAGCACCACTGAATAGATTTAAAATAAAAAACAACAACAAACAAAAAAGTAAACTCCACTATGTGTTCCATGTTACACTTGACAGAGTCTCAAGAGGCAAAAAGAAGCACTTTACATGTACCCTGTTTAAGAAAAAAAAATCCTATATGTCAAACTTCACAATAAAACTAATGAGGATTAATATCTTCATATACTTTTGATTAAAAATCCAAAGGAAATTTCAAGATGAGAAAAATAAAGGGATCTTTGCTTTAAATGTGCAGAAAGCAATTAAAACCAACCCAAACAATTCAAGTAATATAAGTTATCCCTTTTAGATCACCTCAATACTTAGAGGTTAACATGTTAACATGTTAGATGTCCTGATTTAAAGATCACCTCAATACTTAGATGCTAACATGTTAACATGTTAGATGTCCTGATACACATAGAATATGGCAGTTAAACAACTGAGTAAGACAAGGTTAAGAATGAAAGAGTTGTTGTAAAACCTTAACAGCACAATTACACAATGTTTATCCCTACCAGAACTCAAATTTGCCACTACACATGATGTAACTTCAGGAAGTCTAGATTTCCTAACACCAAAATTCCTAGAGAAACTTAGTATGGAAGTTAAACCAGATTAACAAAGCAATAGTCATTCTCACTGCTACACCACACTGCCAAGCACTAGGTACTCTACCACCAGTCTGCACTCTGGTGCAAAGCTTCAAACTCCTGTTAGAAACAGTAACACTTCATTGCACGTATCAACTGCTTAAAGTAGAACAGTTCCAGCTGAGGAATTACCTGTTTCAGTCTTACTGGAGAAACCTGCTGCCTGTTTGATTGCTGCTGCTGTTAATGCCAGCCCTCGGCTCCTCCGCAGGCCGTGCTGCAACACAGCTTCAAACTGAGCACACAAACAGGTCACCCTGCAACAGAATTTTGAACAAAATCACATGAAAAGAACAACCACCTATGTCTGCATACAGCAAGTTTACACCAGATCTCATAATAGGGTATGTAAAGTGAACCACTATCTTGTAAGCAGTGAGAGACACCTTTGATGCATTAATCTCATCATTGGTAAGCAGTGTAATCTACTTATACCCACAGACTCGTGATGACTGAGAGCTGGGGCACAGATTAGATTCAGAAAAACTGGCAATCAATTTGAGAAATCATCCTCACCTGCTAGAGCACTTAATCTGTTAATTCAGCTTCAGATTACCTGCATTTCATGTAATGTAATTTTTTGAGCATGTCAAGTATTTTGTGCCTTATGTTTTATGTCACTATGATACAAGATCTAAGCATGTTAAAAGTTTCTTTAGCTGTTTTACCTGCTGTCAGAGTCTGAAGCGATTTCTTTTCTTCCTCCAAATCGGATTTGACACTGCAATAAACAGGAAATTTTAAGAAATTTTTGTTACACTAAACAAGCTCAATTTTCAGAACTATTTCCATATAAGAAACAAAGTCAGAAGAAAAAATACTAAACAAGCTCAATTTTCAGAACTTTCCGTATATATATAAGAAACAAAGTCAGAAGAAAAAAGGAGGCAGCACAAAATAAAGCATTGGCACATACAGCCTGCAACCCAAAACTGCATCATGTTCCACTCACAGGCTACTCCTGCAGTTTAAATATATCCCTGCCAGCCAGAGCAACACACCTGTAGGTCCTTCAGTAAATTGAAAATGGAGTGGAAATTACTACTTTTGAGTTTTAAATGTATACTCACACCCCAACATTACTCCCATTCAGCTCAGTGCTACAATTACAGAAGAACCATTCTTTATAAAGCATATCATTGCCTTATTTTTCAGGCATTCCTTTGCCTCCCAAACTCTCCTAAATTTAAGCCAGTCTATGAAATTCTACTTGCTGAACTTCCCGTGGATGCAAGATACAGACATAGATAAATATATCACATCTTTACATGTAGTTCATTCACTAGAAACCTAGTGCAAAGGAAAAAAGCTGCTACTCTAAAACATTAGCCAAGTTAGCCTTTGCAGTACACTGCAATTCAGTTCAGTCATATCTGTAGTACAACTACATATATTCATACTATATATTCTATAGCATTACATATATTTAAAATACAGATAATACAAATATAATCTGTCAAGAACTAGAATTTTAAACCAATACTGCATAGTAGTTGTTTGTTAGCAGACACAAAGCTCAGCAGTACTATGTCAAAGCCAATATTTCCTCTTTGTCTCCTTTTCTTCTCTTTCTTCGTCTTTGTTAAACAGGAGGACGAAGAGCAAAGACAGTTCCTACTGGCACTGACAGCTCTGGGTAAGTTTACTGCAGGAATGTGTATTGGAGTTCTCACCTGTTTCACTGCATCCAGTAGCCGTTCTAGAAGAAATTGTCTTTTAGTGTCATTGTTCTGTGAGCCTGAAATTGAACAAAATTATATCATTCTGAAAATCAGTATTTTTTTAGAATATATTCAGGCCAACACAGGGGCCCTGAAAACTTTCTTCCCAAGCCAATTATTCCATTAAATTAACTAGTGTACTAAATCAAATGATGCAGTATAAAGTCTGCTTTGAGGTCTCGAGTAGCCTCTCTCTAATAGGCAGCAATAATGTGCCAAATTCCATCTACAGCCTTATTTTAGAAAGATTTGGGTTTCCTGACATAAGGAATATTGCAGCAATCCCAAATACAGTGTAACTGTGCAGGCTGATGCACAGCTTGCCCCAGGCCTCTTGGCACAGCCACCTCTGGGGACATACTGCAAGCCTAGAACTAACAGAGTTTAAGATTTACTTTTTTTGGTGGGTTGGAGTAGGTGTGTGTACAACCACAGAAATGTTCATTCAAGCTGGGACAACTACCAGTTTAGTATAGCATCACAGCACAAGAAAAGAATGGAAAATGAGAAAGAGACAGCAGGATTATCTTCTTACAACCTTACTACAGTTTTAAGTCAGGTGAACAGAGAGTAACTGTTACAATAAATCCTTTAAAATTTCACTACCAGCATAGTTCTTCCTGATTAACACCAATAAAATATAGTTTGTTACTATACAAGCAACTCTGCAAGACAAGCTTTAATTTCCCAACCATTTCAACAACAAATAGCATAATACTTCAGTTGTCGGAATATCCTTTAGAATTCTGTAGAATTTCATTATTCTGAGCTTAGATTCAAACTATGCATCAGAAACCCCTGTGAGCTCTCTGGAATCAGAGTCATTCTATTCTCCTTCCCCTCTCAAAGAACATTCAATCAATACATGTACAGACTGAAAGCCAATTATCAAAACTCTGCATGAGCAAGTTCCTCCAGACACTGCAAATCAAACACCACACAATAAGCTCAAGCAAAGAGAGATGACATCAAAGATATGTCTCTTCCTCTTGCTGTCCAACACTGTGAGGTCCAAATCCCAGAATTTTCCAAAGTAGTTTGCTCCTAAACCAGCAGGACAGATTTTGTCCTGCAGAAATTATTCTGCCTTTGTTTAAATATTTATACTCATATAATATATAATACATATTACATTCATATAATGTATGGATATATATTATATAATGGATATATATGTATATATTCATGTTAATTCAACTATAAATATATTCATATAATTTATATTCTATATATATTCACATATTCGTTAAATATAGGAGAAGAAAACCCACACAGTGTACCAGAGTAAAGAAAACAACAGGAAAAACATGCAAACATAGCTGCTAACTAAGCTTCTCGATGCCTATTTGGCTGATTACAGCATGTTTTCAAGAAGTTATACTTCAGCTTTTGAAGTGTGACTCAGACTGTGCAGACATGTGATGTACAAGGTTTGGGTCTATTAGTCAAACTCTGATGCATACAACAGCCAATGCTGGGAAAGGTTTCCAGAAACAAAGCCCATACCAAAGAATCTTTAATTTCCTAACAACTATGCCAGTTATGCCACCATGGAGATAAGGCTAAATACATGTAATCCCTACCACTGCACTTTGTGCTCCTTCAGACATCCTCGAGCACAAGTGCCATGAGCAGAGGCTGAGGGAGCTGGGGGTGTTCAGCCTGGAGAAGAGGAGGCTCAGGGGAGACCTTCTCACCCTCTGCAACTCCCTGACAGGAGGTTGGAGTCAGGTGGGGGTTGGTCTCTTCTCGCAGGCAACCAGCAGCAGGACAAGAGGGCACAGACTCAAGCTGTGCCAGGGGAGGGTTAGGTTGGATATTAGGAAGAGATTTTTTACAGAGAGAGTGATCAGACATTGGAATGTGCTACCCAGGGAGGTGGTGGATTCACCATCCCTGGAGGTTTTCAAGACGAGACTGGATGTGACACTTAGTGCCATGGTCTAATAACCCCGGCAGTGTTGGACTTGATGATCTTGTAGGCCTTTTCCAACCAGGCTCATTCTATGATTATCATTTATGAAACTATATTCAGTGTTCTTACCACACATACACTGCCAGAAATGGAGACACACACACGTCTATGTGTCTATATGCCTTCTAATAAATCACAGAGCTATAAAATAAGGAAAACAATCCCAACTTTTAGTACAACCTCTTGTGTGGAGTAACACTGAATATACATAAAGCTGCATATTTTCTCTATTTTTCAAAACTCATTACTTTTACACTCTTATGCTACTCACATACCTGCAAGAATAGGTACGATACATTTCTCTTTACATTAATAGTCTGAGAATACATCAGAACAAATGCATCTAATTAATAATTTCATGGCCTGGAAAAGATCAATCAAATGAAAATATTAGTAAAGTAAAAAAAAGAAATATCTACTAACTCCATTTAAGATTGTTATTTTATGCCTTCATTTTCTAAACTAAGTCTTTAGGGGAAAAAGCTTTTTTTCAGACAACAGCACCAATTAAGTGTAATCAACTCCAGCTGATTTAAAGACTAGCACTGTATTACAAACTAACCAAAACACCTTTCTCCTGCCTCAGAATAGTGGTAAAAGCTGCAGTAACACACATACAAATACAAAACATTGAATGCACAAACCCAGCATTACCCAGGAAAAGAAAAAAAGGCTATATTTAGACTCTTGCAACAAAAAAGGGAAGTTCATAATAAGTCTAAAAATAATTGTGAAAACATTAGTCTAAGACTGCAAAAACTAAGAAACTTAAAGAGACTCATCCCATCAACACCTACTCAGTCTAAAAGGGTTTAAAATAGGCTCAGGTACTGCACCTGCCTCTGTGACCCTCCACATTTTGTGCTGCTCAAGGTCATGCTTTCCTATTTTTAAACCAAATTTCTCTCCACACCCTGACACAAACATCCACACCTACAGCAGCAGCAAATGGACATGCAAGTAATGGAAAGCAGGATTTTCACCCAATTCTTTACAGGTAAAGCTCTCTTCAGCACCACATGTAGCACATAAGTTAAAAAAATAAATCTCAGACTGCTCTTAGATACAACTTATGTTTAAGTCTTGCATGCAAAATTTCAGACTGCAATGCCTTTTGCTTGCTCTAGTAGAGGCCCTGAGGGTACAGGTTTTAGATAAAACAAACTGAGACCTAATTTAAATGCTACCTTATACTACACTATTATGATTCTACTGCCTCATCCCAAATTAGTCACATTTTTATGTTTTTTGAAACCACTATTAAACAAGTGACAACACCCCTAATGCTTGACAAGCACATAAATCAAGTTTCCTTGTGTTACTTCCCTTTAAAGTTTAGCTTATTCAGCACTGCACAATAAAATATGAGTATGTAATTAGTAAGCAGCATTAGCAATATTAAAGTACTGCTCAAATCAACAGGAAGTTTCCTTCACCTCCACTAGAAATTAACATTTTTTTTTAGCTGTAGTGTAACACAA